CTAGCTCCGCTAAGCTCTGTGGCTCTCCGTCCGCCCTCCTGCCTCTCAGCTCACCTCCCCCAACTCCCCAAAGCACAGCTGAGACCACAGGGTAACATTTTCTCAGAGTTGTCCTTGGGAACTCAGAGGGAAAGGCGGTGGCGAAAATAAAACCCTGGTCCTGCATGCTGGCGCCAGAGTTGGGTCCTGTCCTCTGGTGAGGCACGCCCTCTTTACGGCGCTCTCTTCCCTGGACCCCCGGCCTGCTCCCTGATCCCAGGGGCAGCCCACTCTGTCCCCCCAAGTCCAGGAACGCCCCTCCCCACTCTCTCTATCTCTCTCAGGCGAAGTGAGAAGCAAACCTCCCAAACTCATCTCCCCTTTTCCTCCGTGGCCACTCCTGCTGAGTTCCTCTCTTCCAGATCTCTGTTCTGGGATTTGGGCTGCGACTTGATGTCCCCCAAAGACCCCCTGGAGTACCTCTGTCTTCAGGTGACTCTTCCTCCAGAGAGAGACCTTCTGGGCCCTCTGGCGACAAGCACCACTGGCCACTTTAAACGACAGTCCTGCGGCTTCAAAGATAACCAGCCATAGGCTCTGGGCCATCAGTTATGAAAGCACAACTCAGAGGACCCCCTCGGAACCTCCTCCTCCCAGCCTGCCAGGCACCCCAAGCTCCAGACCCCCCACTGAGGCTCGGCAGGATGGGGGGCCCCTCTTGGCGGCACTGCCTTGGGAGCACTGATCCTCCACGTCGGCCGCAGGGCCCCTGAGGCCCCATCCCGGTCTCCACACACGCCTGGGAGGCTGCTCTGCCCGGCCCTGAGCGGTCCCCGCAGCTGTGATCCAAAACACAAATGCCCTAGCACCAGTGTCACCGCTGGAAAGCACCACGGAGGTCCTGATGCCCGCCTGCTCCCTCCATCGCCGAGGAACGGAGGCCCAGGGTTCGTGTGCAGGGCCCTGCTCGAAATCAGAGCGGGGTTGTGTGGCAATCTCCTTTAGAAGGCATCCCCTTCCCTTTCCTCCCTGCGGAAGCTGGAGACTATCTTTGTGTTGCTGCGCATTTTTTCAGTCATAGGGGACAGAAAACCAACTTGGAAATGCTTGAGAAAGAAAGGAATTTGTTGGCTCATTCCTAGAGCTGGGGTGGGTGACGGGGGGGCCGGTCCTGAACCACACGGCCTCCGAGTAAGGGAAGTGGAGGGGCTGGTACCAGGAGGAGGAGGAGGATGCTGCAGGGGGAGAGTGGCGGGTCTAGGACAATCCACCTCCTGGCGGCCCTAAACTCTCATCGACTTCTCTTCCCATACACACAAACATGCCACATGCAACCTTAAACACGCTGGCCATGGGAAGACAGCTGAAGTCTCCCCTTTATGGGGTCCAGCCATTCTCACCACCCATCTGTGCGCTCTGCGAGGATCTCCCTCATGTGGCCCCGGGAGCTGGTTCTTCTGCCTCTTCCGCAGCCTGTCCCCCAGGTTTTGGTTTGAGGGTCTCTGAGCAGTGTCTTGGGGCCTCTGCTTACCACGTTTGGGCTTTCTCTGGCCAAAAGCCTGTCCTGGGTGCTTGTCCAGTTGGTGCATGGACAGAGGCGTTTTGCTGGGAGGGTGAGGGACTGTGTCTGCCCTTTCCCATGTCGCATAAAGGGTTCCCTAGGCTGAAAATTGTATTGTCTTCTGACAGTACAAGCCCTTAAAAGCGTAATAAGTACATCATTTGGAATGCTTTTCATTTTAATAAATTAATTAATTATATCCTCACCCAAGGATATTTTTTCCATTGATTTTTTTAGGGAGAGTGGAAGAGAGAGGGCAAGACAAGAGAAACATTACACATATCGATTGCTTGCCTCCTGCACGAGCCCCCACCAAGGCCTGGGCCAGGGAGGAGCCTGCAACCAAGGTACGTGCCCTTGACCGGAATTGAACCCAGGACCTTTTAGTCTGGAGGCGGACTCACACTCTCTCCACTGAGCTAAACCCGCGAGGGCAGGAGTGCTTTTTCCCCAAAACAACAGAAACCCCAATTAGTAAAAAAGGACAATATGCACAGAAAGGGAGGAAGTGATTTCTAGAAACTTCTTTGCTGGCCTCCCCCCACATCTCACTGGCAACACTGGGTCACATGCCCATTCCTAAACCAATCACTTGCCTGCTCTTAGGCTCAGTCCCTGAGCTGGCAATGGGGTGACTTCCCTGAGGGGTGATGGCTGCACACAATCTGGGTTTGTTCAGCCAGGAAGCAGGGAGGGGCCCTGTGAACACCAGTCCGCCGGCCTCCATCAGGCCTTTGTCTGTTTGCATTCAGGCACTTGCCTGGCCACCTGTCCTGGAATCTAGATGCCAGCCTGGTGGTTTCTGTCTCGTGCTCAGAGGTCTTGGTTCTCTGCCTATTCCCCCAGCTTTCAGCCTCCATCCCCGCCTTGCTTTGGACCCAGGTGAGACGACGAGCCCATGGAATGGAAAGGCAGAGCTGTGGCCCTCCGCCCCAGCTCCCATTCTAGCAAACCGGTCTTCACCAAGAGGCCATGTTCAGCTTCCTGAGGTGCTTTGCAAACACTTGGGGCGTTAGGCTGGTCTCCACCCCACCTGGGACCCTGTTCCTCAGCTTCCGGCGAGTGCAGGACCTAATTTGCTTACAGCATCGTGTTAATCTTCCCCAACTTTGCAGGAAAACAGATTCTATGGCTCTTGGATACCTCAGAAGGCTGGCGGGAGGCTGCAAGAGGCCCTCTTGCTGGAGGCTGTGCCCTTTTCGCCCCCCCCCCCCCCTTTCCCCTTGGGCTTGTCTTTTCCGGAAAAGGCCTGAGCATTAGCCAACACCCAAAACATGTGTACATCAAACAGAGTCAGAATTATAGGGCAGCTATAGATGTAGACATAGAAAAAAATATATTTTTTAAACAATGCAGACCCAAGAAGGCTTCCACAAGCCGCCTTTCCTGGTGGGGGCAGATTGGGAAGTTTGGGAAGACTGCCGGGCACTGGGATGAGAGCATGAGGACCAGGTGAGACAGGTCCTCATCCGAGCACACGTAGAGTCTGCCTGGGAGATAGGAACCACACTCCAGCAGCAACGAAGGAGGAGTCAGTGTGAGTTCGTGTGATAAGCACCCTTTCTCTTCCCGGCAAAATCCTGTCGCGAAGACGCAGATGGAATGTCCCCTTCTTGGTAAAGTCTCCCCGGGACCCTCCTGTGAGGACCTGTAGTGCTGAGTCCAAAGCCCTCCTGGTGCTTCTCATGCCACATCCCAGAGGACCCCCTCCTCCCCCCCCCCCCCCCCCCCCCCGCCCCGGTCTCCCGCAGCGAGGGGAGCATCTCCCAAAAGTCTCTTTTGTGTTTGATTCTGTTTTGGCAACAGCTTCTTGTCAGACCTGTCTTACCAGCATGTTAGTTGGCCACTTTCCCATCAGACCCGTGAGCTCTCTAGATCAGAAACCAGTCAGCAGGGTACACGTCTGCCTGACCACCGTGAGGAGACGCGGGCATGCTTCCCACCATGGCTGTTCCCAGCTGGTGACAGTGTAGCTCGGGCACTAGGGCCGGCCTTCCTGAGGGAATGCAGGACTCGCGGATGACAGTGTTGCCTCACAGGTCACACAACAGCCTGGCTCTCATGGTCTCATCCTTCCCCCTCCGTTCCCGGGTGTCAGACCCACATCTGATGAAGGTTCTCCTGCCTTCTGACCCCACCTTTGTTATCCTTCGTGGCATTTCTCCCCATGAATCTCTGGCCTGCCTAGTCTTGTGCTGATGGCAGCTTCTTGGAGGACCTGAGATTGGTTATTTGTCTTCCCGGCTGGGCACCATCCCACCGTGGAGCACAGTGCCTGGGCCAGAAGGAGGACCGGACAAAGGGATGCGACTTCAGAGAAGGGGCAGGTGAGTGCGGGAGAAAGGAGCCGGAGGAAGCTTCAGGAGGAAGCGGGCCTTGCCCAGGCCCCGAGGCTGCGGCGCGGAACAGTCCTCAGGAGGCACGGCCCCTGAGGAGGGTGGGTGAGTGTTCCATGGTCCGGGTGCAGGAGGGGGCCGTGGGGTACCAGAATGGGTCACTCTGCCTCACACAGGAGGGTCGGCAGGCAGGGGTGCGACAGAGGAGCAGAGCGAGCACATGGGAACCAGGACGGGCAACCGTGGAGGCTCTGACACCGAGCAGGGCCCCCAGATGGTGCGGGAACTGTGAGTGTGTGTGTGTGTGTGTGTGTGTGTGTGTGTGTATGTGTGTGAGGCATGCGGATCAGGGCGGATTTTCCTCACGTGTCTCTGCGATGAGATCAGCGTCCAGAGCCAGAGCGAGTTCCCCTTTGTGAGATCTAGTGCCTCCCGGGCACGGTGCAGTCCCAACCGCCTGGCCCTGGCTCCCAGCACCGCACTGTCCGCTCCGATGACATCTGTTTACAGTTCCCATCCAGCCGTCCTGTTCCCACCGCCCTGTGGTGAGGGCGACGGGGGGAGACTCTGGCAAAAATAGGGCTCCTGCCCCAGCTGTGGCCCGACTCCCACAGGCCCCCGAGGCTGAGAGGAGTGGGGCTGGGAAGTGCCCTTCAAGGGACTGTACCCCAGAGGGGGTGTGCCATGCCCAGGGTAGGGAGAGCCCTGGACAAAGCCAACGTGATGAGGAGCATCAGGTACGGCAACGGGGTGGGGTACAGGGTCCCCTTGCTCAGTCACAAGAACAAACTAGCTGGCCTCAGGGGACACGTCACACGAGGCCCCAGCTGGTGTGGCTCCTCCAAAGTCCTGGCTCCTTCTCCGCTGCCCAGGCCAGCGGGGGGTACCTGGGCTGGGGGGCTGCAGTGCCGTGGGCTGTGGGCGAGCTGGGTTCCAGATGGGGGGCCTTACCCCAGTGACCTTCAGGCCCTTCATGGTCAAGGGACTGAGCCCCAGCTTATCTCTCCAGCTGCCCTGTTCCCTGCCACTTTATCAGGAAGGTATCGGAGCCCGGAACGCCAACCTCTCCCTCCCCGTGGGACAGCACCAGGTGCAGGGGTGGGCCAGCTCTGGGGCACAGGGAGTAAACCTGAGGGTTTAAAAGGCCCCAGGATCTTCTCTCTATTTCAGTTGACCTTCCCAACTGGCTTCAGCATGCAGGGGCTGCTGGTTTTGAGTCTCCTGCTGGGGGCTGTCCTTGGCAAAGATGACTTTGTGGGGTAAGAGGGGAGACAGGGAGGACTCGGCCTCCAACCACCATCTGGAGGACATGGACAGACAGACACATTCTGGGAGGCAGGCCGACCAGGGACCAGGGCTGAGAAAGGGCCCGACTGTTAAGCCCCCCTGAGCCCTGGATACCTGTGCTCTGAGGAGGAATTTATTTCCCGGAGAAGAGGCAGGAGGAGGCTTGGCTGGCTTTGGAGAGAGACAGAGACTCTACACGGGGATTGGGGACATCAGCAGTGTCCCAAAGGTTCGCAGGAGCCCAGGCTGTCTATTGCTAGACCAGTGGTAGGCAAAGTGCGGCTCACGAGCCACATGCGGTTCTTTGGCCCCTTGAGTGTGGCTCTTCCACAAAACACCATGGCCTGGGCGAGTCTATTTTGAAGAAGTGGCATTAGAAGAAGTTTAAAAAATTTGGCTCTTGAAAGAAATTTCAGTCGTGGGTATTTGGCTCTGTTGGCCAATGAGTTTGCCCACCACTGGCTTAGACACCTTGTGCTTCCCCCTGCGCAGTGCAGAGGACTGAGGCCCAGCCTGGGTTTCCCGGCACCTGCTGCCCCCTCCCACCGGGGGCTGTGCACGGCCGGAGGGGCTTCACAGACCTTCAGCCTCCCCTTCTGTCTGCCCAGGCACCAGGTGCTCCGAATCTCTGCGGCCAATGAAGCCCAGGTGCAGAAGGTGGTGGAGCTGGAGGAGCTGGAGCATCTGCAGGTCAGAGGACAGCAGAGCCTTCCACCTGGGCCGCCCTCGGCCCTCACCGACCCCTGGAGCCCAGGCTCTCTCCCCCAAGCTTCTAGAAAGAGCCGTGGACTGATCCTTGTTAGGAAGTGATTAGACCCCTGGTTACTGGATCTTAGTGCTTTTGATCACCTGAGCAAAGAGGGATCCCTATTCTAGTCCCTCTTCCCCGGTATTGTCTCCAAGTCCTCACCCCACTCTGCTTTCGTGGCCATTTCTCTGATCATACTGGACTTTGTCCCGTGTCCAGGGGTTCCCTTCATCCTCTGTCCCTAGCACCCCAATTGTATGGGAAATCCTGCCACCAACGCCCTTCCCCAGCCCACCGTGACAGTGCCGGTTCTCGTCCTTCCAGCTGGACTTCTGGCGGGGCCCCGGCCAGCCTGGCTCCCCCATCGACCTCCGAGTGCCCTTCCCCAGCCTCCAGGCCGTCAAGGTCTTCCTGGAGGCCCACGGCATCAAGTACACGATCATGATCGACGACGTGCAGACGCTGCTGGACGAGGAGGAGGAGCAGATGACCGCCTTCAAGACCCGGGCCGCCTCCACCGACACCTTTAACTACAACGTCTACCACAACCTGGACGAGGTGAGGGGCCTCTCGGCCGCGCCCACAGGCACCGAGCTCTCGGCCAGGCTGGCAGAGCCTGGGTGTGCGTGGCACCCGCCCTGTCTTCACGTGGCCCGGGCTCCACACTGTGGGGCTCCCAGCTGGGCGGCTAATGGAGCGGTGAAGGGAGGCGTCCGGGTGCCTGGAGGCCATTAAAGCCGGCCCTCCCTCCTGTCCCGGCTCAGATCTATGGCTTCATGGACATGCTGGTGGCTGAGCACCCGGGGCTTGTCAGCAAGCTCGAGATCGGCAAAACCTACGAAGCCCGTCCCATCTACGTGCTGAAGGTAACGAGCTCCTGCTGGGGCTGTGCGCGGCACACTCGCAAGAATGGGCCCCCACATCCGTGTGCAGGGGGAGCCTGTGGTCACGGGGAACACAGTGCTTACCGACTCCCGGTGCCCACAGTGGGAAGGTCTGAGTTTCCATGCTGGCCTAGGTGTGCGCGCATCTGTACGCACAGTTTTAACGTTTAAGTGACCTGCGTGTTTCCAATCAAGCGTCCCGCTGTGGAAAGTATCCTGGAGTCGGGGTGACCCCGGCCAAATGTTCTGTGATCTCCAGTGGAGAGGAACAGGGTGGGGGGTCTGGAAGCTTGGGCTAAGGGCATGAGGCCAAGTTTTGTGGGGGTCTCTGTCCAGGCCACACACCTCCCCCCCCCCCCCCCCCCCCCCCCCCCCCCCCCCCCCCAGTGATAGCCCCACAAACAGAGTCTCAGCCTGTGATACCCAGAGAGCAGCTGGCCTCTGGCCCCGGGGGCAGACCAGGCCCAGCCGGACCACCACTCTGCTCTTCTCCGTAGTTCAGCACCGGGGGAAACAACCGCCCCGCCATCTGGATCGACACGGGCATCCACTCCCGGGAGTGGGTCACTCAGGCCAGCGGGATCTGGTTTGCAAAGAAGGTAAGCCTGGGGCGCTGAGGGGGCTCTGGCCCAGCGGAGCGCTGGTGTCCGAGGCCCATAGAAATACTGGCCTCCCCTTCCCACCCGGAAACCGTGACCTCAGAGGGGGGCTGCGGGCAGGTGTCTACTGGTCTAGCATGGCAGACGCCTGACCTGGCCCCCACTCCACCTCTCTGCCTTCCCACCCTCACCAGATCACACAGGACTACGGCAACGACCCGGGCTTGACCGCCATTCTTGACAGCATGGACATCTTCCTAGAGATTGTCACCAATCCTGATGGTTTTGTCTTCACCCACAAGAAGGTATATGCCATCTCCTGTTCTTGGGGAAAGCAGGGTGGGCCTCTGGGTCCTGAGACTAAGTTACTCACCCCTCTTCTCAACCTCCAGAAGTCAAGGGAAGGGCAAACAGACGCCCCCCCCCCCCCCTCCCAGATCAGGGTTCTCAGTCTCGGCATCCTTGACATTTTGGGCATGCTGAGTGTTTGGCAATCCTGATGAGTACTCATGAGATGCCGGGAGCAACTCCCTAGTTGAGATCACCAAAACACCTTCAAACATTGCCAAAATGTCCAGTTGTGGGGGGGGGGGGTGGTGTGCAAAATTGTCCCCAGCGGAGACCCACTGCCCCAGACCTTACCTCCTGGTTTTATTTCATGGTTATGGCAGGCGCAGCATGCTACCAATCAAAATGTGAATGGGGTGGGCACCTCATGCCTTTCCATTTCCAGCAGAAGAAACTTCTGCCCGTATGCCACCCACTGTCTCCTCCTTCAACCAAGAGCCCCCTCTACTAGTATACATCTTCCCCCTGACAACCAGTTGAGAGTGGTTTCTGATCCCACGCCTTGTCCACACCCAAGCTCCGGATCAGGGTGCTTTGCGTTGACTGAGGCCGCTCCAGCCCACGCTGCTCCCGGCGGTGCTGAGCCCAGGCTAGCGTGGTGATGGCGACAGACCAGTGTCTGATTCCTTCCTCAGAACCGCTTGTGGCGCAAGACTCGCTCCCTCACGGCAGGCTCCTCCTGTGTCGGGGTGGACCCCAACCGGAACTGGGATGCTGGCTTTGGGAGTAAGGCCCAGTGTGATCTGGGAGCAGGGATGGGACAACTGGGAATGCCTTCTTACACTTCTGTCCTATTGTCCCCCCTCCCTGTCCTGCCCCAGCAGCAAGGGCTTGGGGTGAGGGTTGCGGGGGGGGGGGGGCGGGGGGGAGGTCAGCCCCTCTGTGAGGCTCAGGGAGGGAGGTGGCACTCTGAGGCTTGCTTGTTCCTCTCAATGGAACTGAGATCTGAAACCTCCTGGGGGCCTTCAGGCCGTCCCTCTGTGGCCACTTCACTGCAGCAATGGGTCTGGCTTGAGAGCCCTTCTCCCCTCCTGGGCGGGCCCTTCATCTCTGCCCGCGGCCTGGAGAGGTGGCCCCCAGGTTATAGAAGGCCTCTGGCCTTTTCCTTCGTCCTGCATCCACCTCACTCCCCACTCCACGCAGGGACACTTGGCTCCGCTGTAAGGAATGCCAACTGCCCCCTCTCCCCTCCTCAGAGACCGGAGCCAGCAGCAACCCCTGCACTGAGACTTACCACGGCAAGTTTGCCAATTCCGAATCCGAGGTCAAGTCCATCGTGGACTTTGTGAAGAGCCATGGGAACTTCAAGGCCTACATCTCCATCCACAGCTACTCCCAGCTCCTCCTCTATCCCTATGGCTACACAAAGGACCCCGCCGCGGACGACGCTGAGCTGGTACGTGCGCTCCCCCGCTTGCCCTTCGATCCCAAAGGCAGCTTTGGGTGGCAGGCCCAGGGGTTCATCCGTCAGATCTGCTTAAGGCACGAGGGCTTACCCATGCCTGACATCCTGCTCCTCCCTGGGCCCCTGAGGGTTTGGGGAGACTGGCAAGACACACCTGCCTTACTTTTCGTCGGGGAAACTGAGGCATCGAGTGGTTGAATCACTTTGGTCACGTGGCAGGCTGAGAGGAGGGGCTAGACTTTGAGCTTGTACCTCAAGTTCACTCTTGGAGCTACAGTGTGACCAAAGGGCCATAAAGTGCCAGCCAGACACCCTGCAGGGTCAGAGGATCCCAGCTCCGGAGCTGGACTTGCATGTCCTAGCAGGCCCTGTGTTCTCTGCTGGGGATCTGCTTCTGTGGGGTGCGTGTTTCTGGGCTGCCCTGGGCCTTGGTGTTGCTGGCCATGACAGGTTTTGTTTGGCATTTTCTCCAGGAAGGGCTGGCCAAGTCTGCCGTGACGGCCCTGGCCTCTCTGTATGGGACCAAGTACAAGTACGGCAGCATCTTCAAAGCAATCTGTAAGTGGGTGCATGGTCTCTGTGTGTGGCCCCAGGTGCCCAGATCTGGGGGCATGGGCAAGGAGAACGGCTCCTGACCCCGCTGACACCTGCAGGCTCCCCGGGCAGTGCCGCCCCTCCTCTGCCTTCTTCAACACCTTCACACAAACATGTCCGCTCCTCTGAGAACTCTTGTCCCTTGTCTTGGGGTTAAGTCCAGCTTCATGGAGAGTGACGGTGGAGAGTTCTGCTGGCATTCATAGGTCACCCAGAAATTCAACTTCAAAACATCCCTGCAATGCCCTTCCATCAGAGAACACATCTCCTCTTTCCCCAGCTTACGTAGGCGGTGACTGCGGTAGAAACACGGCTACACAACAAGTATTTGTTGAGCACCTACTGTCCACGAGGCCTTGTTTTACCTGCTTGGGAATTAAATAAGCACAGATTGAAAACACACACACACACACACAGAGCCTTACATTCTAGCCAGGGAGACTGACAAGGACCAAGTGTAAATGGTGCAGTATGTTAGAGAGTAAAAGGAAAACCAGAATAGGGCGAGGGGACCAAGGAATCCTGGGGGTGGGAGTGGGTGGGTAAGGGAAGGCCTCAGTGAGAGAGTGACATTTGGACAAGTGGTGAAGGAAATACGGGAGGAAGCCAAGAGGCTATCTACCTGAGGAAGAGCTTCCAGACGAAGGAACTTTCTAGAACAAAAGCCCTACCCTGTGGTACTAGCACAGAGACCCTCAAGGCTGCAGTCGAGTGAGAACACAAAGTTGTGGAGGCAGGCGGGGTGCAGGCAGATCCGTGGGGCGCTGAGGGAACGCACCAGCTGACCGGAGGCAGGGGCACTGAAAAGCGGGGCACAGGGATGGAGGTGGGGGGCGTGCACATCTCAGTCTCACATCCTTCCTGCCCTTGGCCCAGGTTCTGGTGGGTCACCATCTTCCCCAGCGCTGGCCTTGCTTTTGGACTCCAGGCCTTCTTTGGCGACTGAGTCAACACCAAGTCTAAGGCCTTTGCTTTCTTCAAGGCCGTCAAGTTAAATTCTGATATGCAGCCGCCTTCCTGCTCCCCCCCCCCCCCCCCCCATTTGAAAGCAGCTTCCTAGCTGCTTGGTCACGGCAAATCTGGGCCCAGTTTCTCCTGAAAAGGCAGACAAGGAATGTTTGCTTTGACTCTGGCCCTTGCAGTCTGCCCTGCAGGCCACGGCCCCAGGGGACAAATCCTGGTGACCCGAGTGGGGAGCTGGAGCACCTGGAGGCTTGACCAAAATGGCTCCTGGAGGGCGGAGGCGGTTTTCAGTGGGAGCTTTTGCAATGGCAGGAACGTTCCCGAATCCCCAGGGCGAGGAGAACCCTTGCTGGTCCCCCTCTGGGGGCCTCTTGGGCTGAGAGCCTTCTGGGGAGCTACTTGGGAGGAAGCCAGGCTGCTTGGTCAACAGCAGGCACCGAGGAGATGGTGACCCCACCAACACTGCAGGGGCCCCGGGCCTTCGGACCATCGGCCTGGCCCATGAACTATTTCCAAGTGACTGACCTTTGCTCTCCCGTGCCTGTTCCTGCCCAGACGTAGCCAGTGGAAGTTCCATCGACTGGGCCTACAACCAGGGCATCAAGTACTCCTTCACCTTTGAGCTCCGCGACACCGGGCGCTACGGCTTCCTGCTGCCGGCCTCCCAGATCGTGCCCACGGCCCAGGAGACCTGGCTGGGGCTCCAGACCATCATGAACTACACTCGGACGCACCTCTACTGAGCTGGCCCCGCGCGCTCTCCCCTCTAGCCTCCCGGCAACCAAATAAAGCTCCAGTGTACATGGAACAGGATCTCGGGATGTGCATGTGGGAACACATGTGGCGCGTCTGCTCTTTCAAGCTGGGGCGGGAGTGATTTAGTTCCTGCAGGCCTCGCTGCAAATGTGTGGGTGGTTGGGCTAGATGACCCCGAAGTCTCCCCCGCTCCCCCCCTCGCATTCCAAGGGCCTGCGAATTTGTATCCGAGTGGCATCTGTTTTAATGAGACCACCCTGAGCTCAGCTCCAGTGGGGTGATTTGTCCATACCTTAGTAGCAGGCTGCAGTCACAGCTGCTAACCAAATGCCTGGCACCCTGCAGTGGCGAGGAATTCCGCTCCTACAATAGCCTCGCTGGTTGGGCCCATTCATCTGCAACAGCGGCACGTTTTAGTATGAAACAGAATAACCGGGCGGTCATTGCGGCCCCGCATAGATGTCGCAGCCAGGCAAAGCAAATATCTGTAAAGCAACTATGGCCTCCCACTCCCGAATGACATCGGAAGAGAGCGATGAGGTTAAAAAGAATCATTTTCTGAAGCTGAAGAGCACCAATCCCAGGACATCTTAAAAAAATATTTTTTATTGATTCCAGAGAGGAAGAAAGAGATGGAAATAGCAATGATGAGAGAGAATAGTTGACCGGCTGCTCCTGCACGTCCCACACTGGGGATCGAGCCCACCACCTGGGCATGTGCTCTTCCCCGGGAATGTCTGTGACCTCCTGGTTTGTGGTGGATGCCCAACCACTGAGCCACGCCAGCCAGGCCCAGGACATTTTATTGTGGTTCATCACGAAGACTGCCTTGAGGGACGGAAGTAGTTTCCTTTACATTTGTACGTCCTTTCCAGAATCTTTTGGTCCCACCCACCACCACTCCTGAACATTCATTAACTTTCTCAGACATAAGGCTCTCTCCTCTTCGTACCCTCCCAGAACCTAGAACTCACCTTCCCTCGTTCGCCTTGCAGATTCTGATGGTGGTGATAGACCCTGAGTGGCTAGCACATCAATATATGGGATATCTCAATCCTTTTTTCAAAGCAAGAATCTACATTGTTTTCTCCAAATCTCTTAAGATGTGACTGTAGAGCAGGGGGTTACTCCAACATCCCAACGGAAGCCGGTGCTTTCAAGTGGCCCTAGTTTCTGTTCAACTAAGATGATGCCTGCAGAAGTCACTGGGAAGTGGGTGGGATGGGTTGGTAGCTCCCCAAACAGTGGGGCAGGGGGTGGGGATGGCAGCCTCTTCTGTATCAGCCGGGTTGGGATGTCACATTGCATGCAGCTCTGTCTTTCCCCACATAAAATGGCCTAAAGGTAAAGTGCCTGTTTTTAAGGGACCCTTGGGGAATTTTCACCTTGAAGTTGTTTTTTTAATATGTTTTTTTTTCTTTTTTTTTTTTCCTGCCAAACAAACTAAAAAATGAAAAGAATAAAACACACTATACATACAATATAAGTAAACTCATGGGAGGCAAGGTAAAATAGTGTTTCTGCCTTTACGGAAACATGACCTAAAGATTTTAAGCACTTCCTTCAAGTTACCTTTTGGCAAACAGTTCCCTTCAATCTATGAAGATAAGCTGAATCCCACTTTAAAAATATATATATATATATATTTTATTGATTTTTTACAGAGAGGAAGGGAGAGAGCTAGAGAGCTAGAAAGGTCGATGAGAGAGAAACATCGACCAGCTGCCTTTTGCACACCCCCTACCGGGGATGTGCCCGCAACTAATGTACATGCCCTTGTCCGGAATTGAACCTGGGACCTTTCAGTCCGCAGACCAACGCTCTACCACTGAGTCAAACCGGTTTCGGCTGAACCCCATTTTAATGGTTCTATTTGTGCAAGTAAAAAGCTGATCTAATTTTTTTGTTTAATAAAGACTAATAAGTGAATAAATATTGACAGTAAGAAAATGTCATTTTATAAAACTGAGTTACTTAGATTTCAAAGGGTCAAATTGTTTAATTTAAAACTGTGCTCCCTGCCTGGCTGGTGTGGTTCAGTGGTTGAGTGTCAACCTATGAACCAGGAGGTCATGGTTCAATTCCTGGTCAGGTTGTGTGCTAGATCCCAAATAGGGGGCATGCAGAAGGCAGCTGATCAATGATTCTCCCTCATTATTGATGTTTCTATCTCTCTCTCCCTCTCTTTTCCTCTGTGAAATTAAAAAAAATTGTATTAAACACACACACACACACACACACACACACACACACACACACTTACTCACACACTGTGCTTCCTGATAGTAGGAAACACTTGACATTCAATTTCCAAAACCATCAATAGTACTTGATATACAGATGTCCAATATATATTTGTGGAATGAATGTTCTCCACTTTTTCTAACAAACTCATGAATTTTATAATCTGTCTAGTTTAGGCTTGCAAGTTATTTTGAATTCCCCAAGGTGTAGTTTAGAAAGTAAAGCTCTGAACAAGGAAGAGTCAAGGAAATGGAAAAGACAAAGAATGAAGCACTAGAATGAAAATTCCATGAGGGCAGGGATTGCATTGCTCTTGTTAATACTTAATCCTTACTTGTTGGCCAAGTGCATGGCACAGAGTAGGTTCTTAATAAATGTTCGTTAAATGGAGACATAGAAGTCATTAATACTTTTCTTTCATATTTTCAATGTAGAAAGAGCATTACATTTTGTTTGCAGATACATATTTTAAAAAATCTATTGGTGAAATTTTTTATTTTATAAATAAAAGCACAAGGGCTTAAAGAAGAAATAATTTTAGAAAGTATTTTACCAGATATGAAAAAGCATAAATAACCTTGAGGGGAAAGGAGCTCTTATAAGTAAAAGGAGTTAAAAAAAAAAATGGACTAATATTTCAAAAGAAAAATAGGCAATTCCCAAAAGAAGAAACACAAAAAGCCAATAAATGTATGATAGATACTGATCCTCTTGAGTAATCTTTTGGTGAATAAAGAAAAACAAATATACCATTTTCTCCCATGATTGACAAAGAATAACAAGACCAACAAGGGTATGAAGAAATAAGACTGTCTTCCCCTTTTGGCGGGAGGATAAATTTACACCCCTTCCTGGAGGGCAACTTGGCCATGTGGGTAAAAGTTTTCAACGTATCATCCTTTTGACCCTGAAAGTCCACTTGGAATAATTTATTTTATTAAAACATTCAGATAATTTCAAATATATGTAATTACACGGTTGCAATAATAAAAATTTATAAATAAAAAGGCAAAGATCCTAAGTAGATACCAGTATTGATACTAATGTGACACACAGAGTACTGTGAAGCCACTGAGGTCTAGGCCACAGCATCCTAAGTGAAAGAGGCCGGCCATACGATGGGAATGTTCTAAAACAGGACTATGTATGATTGCACAACTCTGTAAACTTACCGTAACACTGAATTATATATTTTAAATGGGTGGTGGTGGTGGTTTTCCTCTTTATACTTTTCTAACTTTCTTGCAGTGAATTTTAATAATGGGGGGCTTAAGGGGGTATTGTTTCAAACACACCATATAACCCATGGGCAAAGTTATCTAGTATTAACATCAAACATCTAAATAGCCATCTAAATTTGAGCCCAGTCCTGACTGGTGTTGCTCAGTGGTTAGAGTGTTGGGCCATGGGCCAAAGAGTCATGGGTTCGATTCCTGGTCAAGCACATACTTGGGATGCATGTTCAATCTCTCCCTCTTCTCCCCCTCCTTCCATCCCTTCCACTCTCTCTAAAAATCAATGGGGAAAATAAATATCCTCAAGTGAGTATTAACAACAAATAAATAATAAATTTGAGCCCAGATTCTTTTTTACACTTCATCATTTCTTCTACTCTAGCATCATATTCCACCATCAATTGCCCAGAACAATGTAACTGTCTTATCTTTGGAAAATTTACGCTCCAGATAGAGCTGGAAACAGCAGTGTTTTTACGAAGAGAAAGGGTTACTCTTGCCGCTGGTGGAGGACCAATCCCTGAAGCACTCTGCCGTAGCTCAGAGGAAAATTCCCAAGAGCACCTTCTGCTCAGATTGTTCCCCTAGCTTCTGGGGAACTGACTATGGTAATTGATTATGTCTATTCTCCGGAGCTTTTCACAAATCCTTCTTTTTCAATGAACTCATTTTACTTTTTTTCTTAGCCCTTTATATGTGGCCTGTGAGCCACTGGTGGTCCATGAGAACCCTTCGGGTGGTCTCTGAACTAACTCTCTCCCCCCGCCCCCTCTCTCTCTCACACACACACACACACACACACACACACACACACAGTCTAGCTTGCTGGCTTTGACCTGAAGTTAAAATTGAAATGTCACTGAATGCAATCCAGAAATGACCTCACTGGTCCCTCATCCAGTGCAGGCCATTCATCATCTCAGCGATTGTTTTGCAAGGCTGAGGGGGACGAGGTGGATTTGAAGATGCAGATGGGCTCTTGCTCTCGGGACTTAGAGGACAGAACACCATCCTGTGAACACACTAAGATCCAGATGCTACTCTCAGGAAAGAGCTCCAAGGAAAAAAAAGCACAGGGCGCCCGTGAACCCTGAAAAACCGTCACAGGGCAAGGAACCCTCCCCAAAGCTCTCAGGGCCTGCATTAAACTGGGAGCTCCAACTGCGAGCATCACTTAACCCCGGAGACAGACTGCCCGGTGTTTCTTGCTAAACTAAAAGAAGAAAATTAAAAGTCTTCTGCTGAACCAGAGCAGGGCTCAGCTGCATTTCAGGAGAGTGCAGGGAACGAGACCCCTGCTAACACGCAGGAGGCACACAAGGTTGCCACTGCTTCCTCCCGCCCAGGCCTCAGGCCACGGGCCAGTTCACATCATTTCTGGCTCAGCCTAAATCAGAAACATCACCGCAGAGGAGAGAAAAATCATATCAATATGGTTTATTGACTGAACAGTTGGACCTCTTGGGAAAACAGCCTATTTCCCCCCCTACGATCTAATGAAAAGTTTGTAACTCATTCCTTAAGTGACACCTCAGAAGGTGTTCACGAAGAAACAGAACGAACCCCAGAAACCTTGGAACACCTGTCTTTGGTCCCCAGACACAGAGGGCGGAAAGGCGGGGACAGAGTCCCAGAGCAGATGCCGGTCCTGAACTTCCCTGGCCTCTGGCTCAGCAGAGGAGAGCTCCCTGCGGAGTCCCCTGTGAGGGGGGAAGCCGGCGGCCAGGGGAGGTCCCATTCTTGTTGGTAAATCGGAGGCAGAGGGAGAGCATGGTTGTGCCCTGCTGATGGAACTTGCTCTGCAGACACCGTTCTGGCCCCCGACCTTCTAGCTCAGTGACTCAGCTCGTTTCTTCGTTTCCACTCGACCCTCCGTCTCCTACCTGAAAATGACAGCGCCTACCTCGCAGGACTGCTGTGAGAACTAAATGAGTCAAAACACAAAACAAAGGCTCTGCCTAACGCGTAGTAAGCTCTCCGTGAATGTCTGCTGGTATGATTGTCTGGACATCTTCAAGATTTGAAATAAGAGAGAACACATAACTCACTCTCAGCTGGGGATGGAGTGGACCCAAATTTGGTGAATGCTGAAGGCATTCTGCAGACAGCAGGAAATAATGAGGCCCTCACAGCTCTCCGGGGCCTCCTGCGGAGGGTAATCTAAAAACCTCAGGGCTGTGAATGCCTCTCCCACAAAAGCAGGACGTGCACAAGGGGATAAAAGAGAAAGCGCTTCCCGGATGTCCAGAATGGCGGGCCGGCACCGAGCCGCCCCACAATGGGCCTCACGTCCCAGAATTCAGACTTGACAGGTTCAATTCACTTGGTCACACACCCTGATGAAGGGCTGCTGTCATAGAGTTGGTGATTTTCACCCTCTCGGGGCTTATGGTCAGAATAAAATTCCAAATAATTGAAAAAAATGTAGCTCACCAGGTAACAGCATCTGGCAAATGACCCCCGTTTGCCCCGAGTTCCACCACGCGCCTGGGGATGGCGCGCACGTGAGAAGAATCTGCGGCTGCGTTTGGAACAAAGAGAACGGCCTCCGAGAGGGAGAACATCAGGATGGTGGCGTGACCAACAGAGTTTGGTAAACACATAAAACCGTGCACTGAATCCTGTTCTGTCTGAATTCAATGCTGAGAAATTTCCGTTACATATTTTATGCTATAATTGACCTGTGTACCAGTTTAAGAACACCACAATAGACAATTTCAGTAATAACTACAATTGTGGGAAAGAATTGCTAGTGGACTGTATTGTGAACACTTTGCAAGCACAGCCTGTCTTATTTACTGTTTTTATGAGGAAAATATATTTTGTTAATCAAAGAAGTAATTGAACTGCATGTAAGCATGTCATCACGCTCTCATAACCAAACTGATGAATTAGAATCCATGTTTCTGATGTTTCTTGGGAAAAAAAGAAAAGAAAAGCATTCTGGAGTTACATCTTGGAAAAGAATTGTGAAGAAAACAAAGGCACACAAAATACACTGAGAACATTCTGGAACTGGGAAAAAGAAAGGTTTTTAATGGTTATCCTCAGAGTAGAGCAATGAAGGGAGTCATGGATTTAAATCCAGGTGGACAGAAATTAATTATCTCCCTTAAAAAAGTCAGATAACACAAGACAGAATCTATAACTCATAAATAATACGACAGAAACCTAAACCAAACAAGAAAAATTACCTCCATATTTCTTCCTAGTCTAGGACTCTGATTTCCCTTATATTCCAGAAGGGAATTAGAGAAAAGGAGGTTTTGTTCTGTAGCGTGTTCTTGGTGAGTAGCCTAAAGTTAAAGGATTTTTACCCGGTCTCAATAGCACCACAGGAGAAGTCCCTCAGCAACTAATGAACATTGCTTGTTCTCTCTTCGTTCTGATTTACACCAAGTCCAAAAGGGATTGCACTGGTTCTGGCTTTCCACTCACGGGAAAAAAAAATAAAATGACTGTAAGGTCATTTGAATCATTCTTTACCTTTCAATAGATTAAATCTGACGTTATTACAGCCCGAGATTGTTCTTTTTGTTTTTGAATGAGTAACGCAGCTTTCCCCTCCTGCCCCGCTTCTGGCCCCCTCGCCTCTCCCCTTCCTTCCCTTCTTTCTTTCTTAAATACACAGCCCTTCGGAGCACTGAACGTGCTGTTTAGACTCGGGCCCTCACCGCCGCGCAGACGGAGCTGTAGCTGTGCACTGATAAAGCACCTTCCATTTAGGGGGTCGCGAGGCGAGGGCACCTTGTCAGCCCCTGAAACACTGTCAATAAAGCCCGACTGTCATGTGGTGAAGGTGGCAATTAGTCCCTGCCTGAGCTGACGCCCCTCGCCCTCGCTGGAATGGGCCCCGATTTACGTATAAAATATCCCCCCCGTCTCACAGGGCTCCCCCAAATCACCTCACCGGAGAGGAAGAGAGAATTTGGCAGATATCAGCAGAGTAACAGCAAACAACAAATTAGTAACTACGTACTTTAATGTTCAACATTCATAATTGCACAGAGTATCGCTGATCACTTAAATAATACATGTCAGTTAACCTAACGCGGAAACGAGTAAAGTCAAACATTCAAAGCAATACCTTGAGCGTGTAAAAACCGCGAGTGCCACTTAGCACCCGGAGTGCGGAGTCAGAACAGGTCTTTAGGAATCGTTACTTAAAATCCTTACCAACAGGGCAAAGCACTATGGAGAACAACACGTAAACACACGGCCTGCCAGACGGCTCGGCTGAACGCACGGCCGTTCTGAGGGGTTTGGCTAACCTGACTTTCCACCTACACACAGCCGTTTCCAACACTCGAGTGTCGTTTGGTGATGGGGATGCAGAAGGGGAAGGAAGGGGGCTACCAGTGACCCTCAAAACTGAATCCAGCAGGGAAACCTAAACTCCTGACTCGTCAACTTTAAAATGGCATAACCAGAACTCTGTGACAGAGAAAACATTTTCTTTTTCTCCTTAAAAATGCGCGTGTGTCAAAAAGGCTGGAAATCTTGTCTGTGCTAGGGGAAAGCTGAGGGTGGAAAAATTTGCATTAAAAAAAATGTATGTTGTAAAGAAAATAAAAAGCCAGAGCGTTCTGGCATTAGCAAAAGGGCTGCGCTAGTTCTCAGGCAATAAATTTATGGGGAAACATGACAGGCTCCTCATTAAAGCTATGTGTACGTTGGCTGAATTTTATACAAGATTCTTGAATCTTGTGGAAAACTGGGCATGGCTTGACATCTGAACAATGTCGCTGGTTTGTTTGATTTCTAAAGCGTTGGAAAATGTTATACTTTGGAAATCAAGGAGAGAGGAATAAACATACTGAAAGAGCACTGGGCTGAATCGGAAAGTTCTTTTTCCATATGGATCTATGAGATATTTATTACCTTTACTTCTCTTACAAACACAGCCCCCTTGGCTAGAAATACTGTGGTCCTTTTTTCTTTTTCTTTTTTTTTTTCCTGATGGCGAGAAAATAGTGCCGTGAAGGCGAATCTTACCCAGCAGCGGTAACCACCTAAGGATAGGCAATTTTCAGTTGGCTTTTCAGAAGCTGGTTGCCATGACAAAAAGCACAATTTATTCCTCAGTTCCTTATCACAGCTACAGATCACAGACCATAAAAATTAACAAGGCTCTCTTCCTTTTCCTGATGATTTCAGAGTTCCTCATCCTTACCTGAGGTCTTTTGTTCCCCCAATTAAATGGAACGAATGTCAGTCATCTAGCAATTCAATTAATGCTGATTCAAAATTCTGGCCCAAACCAGAATCTATAATCACAACCTCCTAATCACAGCTCAGCCACGAGAATGAAAAGTAAGTAGGAAATTGCACTAATTACTCAATTAGACTAATACTGTATTTTAAGCAAGGGCTTAAGGGGCTGTCAGCTCTGACAAAGGGCGCGGAGGGGTCCTCACCTGTGTGCCCTCAGGCCCCCCCTCCCAGCCCCCGGAGCTGATGTTTACCAGGGGCCCTCATGGCTGCTGTCTAAGGTGGGATGGGCAAGTGGGTGATGGAAATTCCTAACAGACCACCCGTGAGGGGCAGCTCCGGGGGCTCTGGACGGCCGGGGTTTCTGGGAGGCCGTGTCCGGTGAAGGCATTGGCTTCAGGAGGAGCTGCTGCGCTGAATCTCAGAATGGAGCGATGCTTGCAGAACCAGCCTCCAAACTCACCGCAGGGCCCGTATCCGCGCTGGGGAGAGCGTCCAGCCTGCGAGCCCCCCTGGGGGCTCCGGGAGGCTGAGAGCTAAGCGTCACCGCACCCCAGGGCCAGCTTCTCAGGCAGCACAGCCTCTCTGGGCAACCTCCGTGGAACTAAGAACATAAGTGGAGAAGAACTGGGGGGGGGAGAACACCCCAGATGTGACTGAAGTATGTACACAGCAGCACGGGATACACACCCAGGCAGGCTGGGCCCTATTTCAAACACGAAACCCCCACCCCCACCCTTACCCCACCCCCACGAGACCCTTTCTTCCCACTCGGTTCCAGAGACGTGAATATGGTGTGGATGGGGGCGGACAGGAGCTGGCGCTGCCTTGGTACGTGTACAAACCCTTCCGGAGCTGGAGACCACACGTGTCCTGGTCTGAAAAGGACCGGCTGGGGAACTGCTCGGGGGTCCGCAAGGAGAGAAAACATTTATTTGAGTGGGACAGACAGTCTTTACTTCCAGGGCTTGCCTTGCAGGTGGCCGCTGCCTTGGGAGCGGGGGCTGGCGTGGCCGGCGGGGCCCCCGGAGGACAGGCCCTGGCTGCTGCCGCGGGAGCTGGGCGCCTTGGAGTCTCTGGCCGAGGCGTTAGCCTGGCTCAGCCGGCCTGAGGGGGCAAGGAAGCAGGGAGAGGGCTGCAGGAATGGCCCCTGGGACAACCTGCCAAGCACACTGTTAAGTCAATGAGGTCTTATACTACAACCACTTTTAAGCTAATGAAGTCGTACTCAGTATTCACGTAAAGCTAAGACATGCTGTTAATCTTGTGAACCAACTTAACGGTGGGGAAAAGGGCAGAGACGAAAGGAAACCCAGGCAAGCTAGCCTGCCCCACCTTCCTTCTAGGCAGAGAAGTGAGCAGGAGCGTTAGAGGGCAGAGAGGAGGAGGCAGTGTGCAGGGGAAAGGCCTGAAGTGGTTTGTGTGTTTAGAAGCAACAGAAGGAAATGAAGACTTCAAGCAGGACTCTGGATGCTTGAGCCTGGCCTCTCAACTCTGCCTGAGACACACACTTTGATCAAGTCTCTTCTCTCCTGTCTGTGCACCATGCCTAATTCTTGTCACAATCTTGGCTAGCCTTCACTTGCTCCTCCCCCCCCCCCCACACCCCCCACATAGCTCCTGTACCCTTCCAAAATATTGAAAGACACTGAATATATTACACGGGATCACAAATATCAAGCTCTACAGAAAGTGTCATCTCTAAAGGTCAACGTGTCTTACTGAGACTGTCTGTCGGGCCCTGCTCCTCTTCCAGGTAATATTCTATCTTTTTGAGGTCTTCTGGGGTGAATCTCCACTTATTCTCCGCCGGCGGGGGCGGCACCTTGGGGCTGGATCGTTTCCGGGCAGAACCAGGAGGAAGGGCTTGCTGGCAAGATGCTGGCAGGGAACCTGTCATCAGTCCTTCGGGGAATTTCTGAGCTAGGACTTTGAGACCTGGGTGTGGGGGAGCGGAGAAAAAGCAGCGTTACCACCGTGAGGCCCGGGCGAAACCCGGCGAGGGGCCCGCAGGCCTCCTAATCTCCGGTTTCCACGTCGAGGCCAGCACAGGGACGCCGAAGTCTCCCTCAACTGCTTCTCCATTAAGGAAATTACCCCAGAAAATGTCGCTTGTTATGTGGGATTCTGAGAATTCCACCAGAAATCCTCCTGCGTAAGTCCTCGGCATCAAAGCTCCCTCACGGGGCCCTGATGCAGGCAGCATTTCAGGAATGTAAAACACGCGCCCACAGAGCACAGGGAGGCCTCGCAGAACTGCCTCCGTCCAGCCCTCTCTTTCCACAGCGCGGGCAGACCCGCTTCTATGGCGCTGCGCTTCACTGCACCTCACAGATGTTGTCTATTTTTATTTCCTACAAACTGAAGGCAAGACCCTCTGTCAGCAATAAGATTATGACCCGCTTTACGGGGATCCTTGCTTGGTAGTGGGGATCTGCGTGTGCCCGAGGTATGCCTGCACTGAACCCTGAGCTCCCAGGACAGAGGGGCTGGAGTGGGGGTGAAGGATCGTGAGCCCCGATCGCAGCCTTTAGGGTCCGGCTCGCTCGCTCACCTCCGGAAAGCATGAAGAGGTTTTCGAATCCCCGCTCGCACATGGTGGTGGCCGCCTGGCTGGCCAGCCTCTCGTCGTCGTCGTACAGAATGATGATCTTGCCGTGAGCATTTTTCTGAGAGTCAGACGGGTTAAGGTTTGACCACGCTGAGGTAATGCTTCTAACTACAAGAAATCCCCAAGGAGCAGAGAGCTGTCCCGGTTCAGCTTTCTGAATTCAGGGCGACACCGGACGGTCCCTCTCTTTACCCATCACACTGGCAATTGGTAGAGCTCTTCCTGACAGGGAACCACCGGAGTTGGTATTCTTTTCTCTTAAAAACTAACAGAACCCCGATTCAAGACGCACTAGGGCAGTGTTTTTCAACCTTTTTTGGGCAAAGGCACACTTGTTTCATGAAAAAAAATCACGAGGCACACCACCATTAGAAAATGTTAAAAAATTTAACTCTGTGCCTATATTGACTATATATAAAGTAATTCTCTTGAATAGGAATCAAATAAACACAAAGAAAGTATTTTATAATTACTTTATTATGAAATATTAAGTAAACAAAATAGTGAAAAATTATAAAATTCTTGTCTTGTCTGCACCTACGGCACACCAGGCAACATCTAGTGTGCCGCGGAACAGCGGTTGAAAAACGCTGCACTAGGGCACTGTACCCCCTTTAGCTCTGTGAGCCTCACAGCCCTGGAGGGTGAGTATTACAAGTCCGTTCTACAGGCAAGGAAGTAGAAAAACTTTTATGTTCAATATGCTCTAATGGAGCTTGTTTATCATAGTAAAAAAAAAAAAAAAAGCCTACAATAAAGAGAACATTTTAGTCAATTATAGTACATCTGAAGGCATTTACACTACATCAAAAATGGAGTTTATAAAGGCCGTGTGTTAGTGTGACAAAGTACACTGTAATATCAAGTGCGGAAAAAGCAAGATACTAAGTTATATAGACAGTATGATTTCTACTTTGTTAAAACATGCATAGAAGACAGTCTAGAGTAAAATATACAAAAAATGTAATAAGTGTTCAAATGGGTGATTATAAAATATTTCCATTATAAAATATTTTCTTTCTCAGATATTCTAGCATTTAAATTATTTTCTACTTGTATGATTTTTATGAGCAAAAATATTAAAATTTTAAGAAGAAAAAAGTTAAAATAGAAGGAAGAAAATTTACTTAAATTTTACTTGGGAAAGCTTTTGGGGGGAAAATGTCTTAGGACTCTTTTGAGAGAGAAGAAGGGAGAGAGAGAGAAACATCAGTGTGAGAGTGAAACAACTATTGGCTAACTGCTGCATGCTCCCCACCAGAAAACAAGCCCACAACCAGGGATGTGCCCTGCCCGGGAATCAAACCTGGTACCTTTCGGTGCACTGAACAATGCCCAATCAACTGAGCCACACCGGCCAGGACAGGCCTAATTCTTAATGGGTCATAACCTTTAACCTGTTCTTTGGCCTGGTGCAGTATGGCTTGGAACCATCTGCCATCATAGTTAGCATACTCAGTAACAGCTAAGAATCGAAATTCTAAAATATGCCAAGATAAGCTAATTAGTATAACAAGTCATTCACACATTGCATCTCCATCTTTTGGATAAGATCAAGTGACGTGACAAAAGTCCTTCACAGAGTTTTCCTACCAGGGACGATTCTTGGTAAGTTTGATTATTACAAACCTCATCATCACCCAACACCTTAAAATGCAACAAAGGATACATATTCAAGAATATCATTTGAATAAGGGTTCATTGTTCTAGACAGAGTTGCGATTGGGTAACTGTAAGCTGCAAAGAAAGGAAAATTAGGAAGTCTGTAGCTCTCCTAGTACAACGTGGCCCCTACCCCACCCATTGGGTTTAAAGTCTCACTGAGAGCTTAAAGAAATATATTCAAAATCAACAAGCCATAAGCCTAAATACTTTTGTGAAAGAAAAGAAACAGGACACGATAAACGAAATCTGAAGCTTTACTTGACTGTGACTGATGTTAGCTGGGCCCGGTGAAAGCGTCACCGGCCTGCCCCTCTGTGTTATGGCAAAGCCAGCTCACCACGGGCCGGGCTGGCACCTGGCTCCTTAACTGCTGACCATGGGAGGCGGTCAGGGGGCCAGGGTGCAAGAATGGGCGGTGTTGCTGGGAGCGAAACACTCTGAGGCTGCCTTTCTCTTACCTCCGACAATGTGGCCCTGCTGGTAAGAGTCTCTATCGCGCACATCTAGCAGCAGGAAGGGGCAGTCGGGATACGGCTTGTCTCTGCTGTTGGGCTCTGCTTTCTTCACCAGCCCTTTGTCTAGATCCAGCTCTCCAACACCACTGATGACGCTGCAAGTGGAAAAGTAGGTCAGTGGCAACTGGTCTTAAAGGTCAGACGCTCTTTTTCAGAATAGCGAGAGAGGGCTCGGTGTCTTTTTAAAAGACACCTCAGAGAACAAGGAAAATGGGTATAGTGTCTCAGTTCTGCTTCTGAACACAAGATCCTGTGGATTCCTGTTCTATCTCGCTGGACCCCGAGGAGAGGGTCCATGCTTACCTCCCGACAATGTATGCTGAGTCATTAGCCTGGCTGAAGGGGTAGAAACTGGAGGGCGCATGCTGCCTCCAGCAATCAGGGCAGCATTCAGAGAAAGAAGAGGTGGACGATTAACCCAGTGGAATTTTGAAAGCAGAGCAAAAGGGGAAAGAGTAAGGTCCATGGGGCAGGATAAATGAAGGCGTTTCTATATGTAATGTAAAGCAACGGCAATGTTTTCGTTTATTCATACCGTCTATCCAATATGGATTTTGAACCTTAATGTTTCTAGTAGCTATGTGTACTTACTTCCATTTGATAGGTTATGATGTTGAGGTTGAAGAGGGTTTTAGATTTGGTGACACTCATACAATCAGACACAGGAAACGCTAGAATTAAAATGAGGGAGTTGACCACTGATAGCTCTATTATAAGGTTATAAAAATCACTAAAATTGGTCACCATATTAATATAGGAAAAATGGGGTTAAAACACGGATCAAAGAAATGAGAAGAGGAGGTGTGATGAACAAAATGGCAAGTAGTGGAGGGTCTCTATTAGAAGATGATTACTTTCCTGGAAAATATGAAGACATGTATGCCAAACCACAGACTGACATGCAGTATAGTTCCCACCACAGCAAGTCCAATTCTGCACTTAAATCTGCTAAGCATTATAACTATATGCCATGTAGTGCATATTTTGTTGAACCACAGGAGCCGAAACTCTACCCTCAATGGAAGTCTCGTTAGTCTATCTTGTTTTGAATACAATTTTAGAGTCCTGGCACAAAAGTAGTTATAAAAATAATAATAATGGTATAGATGATAGCAGTTATTTCACTAGTTGGACTATTTTACCAGTAGAAGGGATGGGTATGTGCCAAAAATTAGCATCGTCTTATAATCAACAGTTACTATTTGCGAGAAAGTGTTACGTCACAGGGTTTGGAAGAAGGACCAGCCACGTGCAGCTGGAGAATCGACACCGATGGCTGCTTGGCTGCTCTCCCTCTTCTTTGCACCTATGCACTAGCTGAGCCCTGTGGGTGCCTCTCCATTTTCCTTCTCATTCTAGTCAGGGTACTTATATGGGGCGACAGACAGAAAAGGCGAAGAGAATCACGCTCTCTGAGTCAAAAGACAGTAGTTGTAAAGCTTGTTCCTGATAGCAAACGTGCATACAGGAGGGCTGAGAAGAGTGGAAGCGAGGTGTGAAAATGAATGCTCTCCCATCAACAGAGTCTTAGGTTAACCGATGACGGAGGATGCTGTGTGAAGGTTCAGGAGGAGGCATTTACGTAAAGAGAAAGCAGAAGGCTGGGTGAGAATGTGGGGCTTCACCATCGCCAATGTGAGGTAAGGAAGCCACTGAAATCGGCCTCTAGAGCCCAATATGAAGGGGAAGATGCAGGGCAAGCACGGATCCGATCGGAGTACCTCTGGAGTGTGGAGCGACTGGAGTCCCCCGCTCCCACGCTGTTGATGAACTGGACAGGGCTCGGCGACTGCTCACTGGGGCTCCCCTTCCCATTGGTGCTGGCAGTGACTTCAGCATCAGGGTCTGAAGTCGCAGAATCATTGTCTAAAATGTGCAAATGAAGAAACAGTGCATTTAGTGGTACACTCTGTGTTTACTTATCAGGCAGAGCCCCTGAAATTAGGTCAAGCAAAGGAACTCACATCACCTTACTTAAATTGTTCTATACATTCTCAAATTAGGTATCTAGGTTCTCAAAATGCCATCTGTGTACCCCAGGAGTCCCCAAGGCCCTTTAAGGGACCTGCAAGGTAGAAATTGTTTTCATAACGATGCTGAGATGTTACTAATCATTTTTACTGTGTTGATATTTGCCCTGATGGTGCAAATAAAATGGTAGATAAAACTGCTAGTGCCTTAGCGAGAGCCAGGGTGGTGGCGTTAAGTTTTATTAGCAATCATCCTGTTTTCACCAACCTGCAATCACAGTTAATATGGCAGTCTCACTTAAAAATCGTCCCTGCTGACGCACTAATAATTAACATCTTTATTAAATTTTACCTTTTTCATATTCTGTGTGATGAAAGGGGAAATTGCACACGGGCAGTTTGCTACATACCCAAGTCCCATGGCTGTCTCAAGAAAAAGCATTAGTCTGATTATTGCTGCTTTTGCCACGAACACCATTTTTACTTGGAAGAAAATCTGAGAAAAACTGGTTACTTAGACTTGTGCATTTGGCAGACATTAAAAAAAATGATCTAAGTGAAAAGTGAACTTGTCATTTCAAGGAAAACAACTGATGGCATTTGTTGCAATGATTACATCTTGAATAAAAATCATAATTTTGAAAGCTATGTGCCATTGGGAGCTTGACTGTTCCCCGTACTTAATGCTTTTTCTGATAAGATAGGCGGCGAGATTGAGAAATGTGGGTTTTTTTTTGATGCTGTGTAATGAAATTTGTCAACATTGGGAACATCTTCATAACTCAGTGAACCAATAATTTTCGCACGACTAAGGCATGATGTTATAAAATCATACACGGATAAAAGATTCATTCAAAGCACAAGACAGACGGATGGCTTTTAATGTAACAGGGTGTGAAAAATTCATTAATATGGTTTCAGATTCTATGTTACAACGAACCTTTAGGAAGCTGTCAGTTGTTGTTTTGGTGTTGTGTCAAAGAAAAATACCCACAATAAGGGAACGGGCTATTAAAACACTCTACCCTTTTATATCTGCAGGTCTGGGTGAGGCCAGGTTTTCTTCTGATGCTTCAACCCAAATAGCATATTGCAACACAATGAACACAGAAGATAGGAGAATCACTGCTTTCTATTAAATCAGACATTAATGAGATTTACCCCCCAAAAAATAAATAATTCCATTCTCAGAAAAATTTTTGTTTTAGAAATATAACTATTTGCATAAAAATATCTTATGTTGGTAATGGGTGAAATAATGAGTAAATATTTTTAAGTTATCCTTAAAATTTTAATACCCTAAACATTAATAGGTATAATTTACATAAACCAAAACTTTTTGAGGTTCTCAATAATTGTTATAGTGTGGAGGGAGATTATTAGAATTTACTGTCCTAACCAGTATAATTAGGGAAGAAATGAGATCTTAATTTGGATATGATAAAATATACAGAGCAACTTCAAGAGACTCCTTTAAGAATAAGGAAAATAAATAGGTGGTTAGATAAAAATATAAATTCTAACAAAGTATTTTTCCTATATACCAATTAGAAAATAATATGAAGATCTCATTTACAATAGCAATTACTGATATACAATATACTTGCCTACAAAATAAACCTAATTAAGAAATGTAAAGGTCCAGTAAAAACCTTTTAATCCTTTATAGGTCTTATAAAAATTTACTTAAGGACATTAACCTGAATAAAGAGAGTGGCATACATTGAATAGTCCTGACTGGATGGCTAAAAGTTAAATGATTTAATCCTTTTTGGACTTATTTTTTAGCCTTAATGCAAATCCCAATAGGATAAAAAATTAAAAAAGTATAAAAGGATTTTAAATATAAGAAGAACAAAAAAAATTATACATACTTATATAAAAATTTAGAGAACCTGACTCATTAAATAGTAACATATTGAAAAGGTAAATGATAAAAGCAATATTCCATTCTAGAACAATAGAATACAATAGAGAACAGAAACAAATCCTAGAAAATATATAAGAAGCTAATATTTGTTCAAGGTAGCATCACAGATCAGTGATAAAGAACTATTTTTCTAGATAGTTGACAGATGATTTCAACAGCTGTCAACTATCTAGAAAAATCAACTTTAGCTAACCTCTCGCATCATATAGAGTGTGTCCCACCCAAAAAAGTATACAGATTTTGAATGATCATAAAGTCAGTGTTTATTAACATACAGTTCATTAAAAAAATTTAAAAGAATCTACAGAGATGAGTAATTTTTGTGTGTGTCAATGCCTGTTTTCAAACTGATGACTGTTCTGGTCCAGGCATTGCTGATAATGTGAAACAATGAAATCACAAATATTAAGAATCATTTTGTTCAGCATTTGTGTGCTCTCAATTTGTCAACTATTGCCGGCTTTGTGCCGTAAACTTTTTTTTATGTATCCCCATAAAAAAAGTCTAGTGGCACTTTAGGGTAAATTTTCTTTGTTCAAAGCTTAGTCTGGCTTCACCCATTATTTCAAATCAGTTAAATTTGAAAAGGACTGAAAATTAAGTGATTGTCAGCTGGTAAAGTGTGCATACACTTTTTTGGGACATGCTATATATGTAACAGATAGATTGATATTAAAACAAAACAAAAATAATAAGCAAACTGATAGGAGAAAATAGAGGTAAATAATTTATCTTATTTTAGAATTTATCTAAAGCAATAAAACAAAACATAACATGATAGGCTGATTTAATCATGCAAACATGCAAATCTCATATAGGTCAAAACCAACAAAAAAATTAAAAGGTGAATAACAAATTAGGAAAAAAATACCTGTAACATATATGGGTGAGGCAAGGTTAATATACTTAATTTACAGAGTTAAAAAAAAATAGCTCTTTAGTTGAAAAAGGATCATGTGTATAAGGTAAAAATGCAAACAACATAAATTCACGTGGAAAGGAAACCTTCTTCCGATTCCAGACGCACGGCCCTCGGGCCTCCTCCCCCAAGGGAACCAGCTTCACATATTTATGTCTCCTTCCAGAAATAAAACATCTACATACTTCTACATATATTTTACTTCCTCCCGTTTTTACATGTCCAGGAGAAGGCGATTCATACTGCTCTACGCTTTGGCTTTTGTTTTGTTGTTTTATTTTTACTTAATAATATAGCTTGAAAATTGTTCCAAATCATCAAGTAAAGATTTTTCTCCTTTATTTCCAAGGCTGTACTGGTTTCCAAAGTAAAAAGATATCATAATTATATAACGCTTTCATAAATCAATAAGTAAAAGGTGAACATTCCGTTAGAAAAAAATGAGAAAGGACCTGTAATATCTTCAAAAGAAATACGTATGACCAATACACACACACACACACACACACACACACACACACACACACCCCTCACTGTCACTGTCAGAGATATTAAAAATAAACCAGGTCAGCAATGGCTAGGATGGGGAGAAACGTGTCTTCTCGCACACTCGGTGGGATGCAGAGGTAGAACCTTCAGGAGAGGCTGTGGAATCAGCATTGAGAGCCTCCAAAACAGTTCTACCCTTTGTCCACCTGCAGCGATTTATCTCTAGGAAATAACCAGAACCACACAAGCACTTACGTATTTACATGGCAGCATTATTCTATAAAAGTGAAAAATTAAAAAAAACAAAAAACGGTAGTGCCTCAGAAAGAGGGAAATAATTAAATCAATTATGGTATGTCCAAAGAGTTGACATTATCTGACCAGATGACCTTTACACTGAAGCTCTGTGAGTCTACTTACTGACACAGGGAAGTCTGCGTGACAAAATGTTAACTGCAGGCAGCATAATACAAAACTACATACAAAGAGTATGCATTTGGGTGGGAGTTAGATAGGGGGGACAATAGACAACAAAATTTAAAACAGGGGTTATTAGTTATTTTAATTTTCTTTATATAGTTTTTGCAGTTTTCTAATTTTCTAAAAATATACTTTTAAGTCAGGGAAAAAATAAACACTACAAAAGGAGATCTTGTAATCCTTCAAAGATAGTCAATATGCAAACAGATACAATCTGTCATACAGGCATTCCGGAGTGAGTTATTATCCGGTGTAGAGCACTAGAAAAACACTAATATTACTCACACATTATGGTGTCCTATTTTACAAGAGCCTATTTTGCCGTGCAAATTCATCTCAGAAGAGAAAATTGCATGAGCCCATATGTCCTGGCGCTGCAATCTCTATAATGAATTAAAAGACCCAATCCAGGTACTTATATAACCAGGTTAAAATTGGGTGTATTTGTACGAGGAGACTCAATTATCTCTATTACAAAGAGCCCTTCTTTCTCCGCTGTGTGAGAGGCATCTGTCAAAGATAAATTCCTGGCTTTTTCAGATTCCCTTTATCCTCGCTAACAAAAACAAGCCCAGGGAAATGACAGTTGAGTTGCACAAATCCAGTGTTCAGACTTCCTGAGAAACTTGTCTTGAAATCAGAAGTCAAATTCCTGGCCTACATCAACCTTAACAAAACACATTCTCCATCAATAAACAGCCACGCATTGATTGGTGAGCGCTTCGGGCTAAAATAAAGACCTTAGCTCTGTGTATGCCTTTCATGAGAGGACAACGGGGAGGTTTTATTTCGACCGGGCATTTAAGAAAGGAAACCTGGAGCCTACCTATCTTTCTGGTCTTATCTCCTACCAGGCACCTATTCCTCCCGCAGACCACAACCAGACTGGATTACTGATTCCCCGGCACGCTGGGAGCTCTCTCTGCTCCCTGCCTGTGCTCAGCCTTTTCTCCTCGATGCCTCTCCTCAGCCAGCGACAGCCTCACCTGCAAGGTCTGGCTCAGGAGCCTTAAGAAAGTCTAGCTGTTTTCTAAAAGGAAAATGCCTTCCCTCCCCGGCACTCCCAGTAGACACTGGCTGCCCCGGGAGACACACAGAGTTGTGTCCTCACGGGCTGTGTCACCTTCAGCAAGTCACTGCACCTCTGGGCTTGGGCTTAAAGAGTACCTTCTTTCAGAGTTTCTGCAAAAATTAAATTTAAAAAATCAGGTGAAGTATCTAGCAATATACATGCATTCGGCAAACGACAGCTTCCTTTCAGTGCTCCATTACGAATTTCTGCCATGTTAGTGATTTTGTGTTTCTGCTATCCTTCTCCTCACCCAACATGCAAACAGATGTGCATGCGTGATTACAAACTCCATGTATGTAGAGCTGGGTTTTAGTCATCCTTGTAGTCTCATAGCACCTAATTCTGTGGCTTGTACATACATAGAAAACACTAAAAATATTTGTTTGAAAAAAAGTAATTAGTATATCCAACACATCTAAAACATTTAAAACGACAAATGCTAGAGCCAGAAAACCATATAGCTTTTTTTTTTTTTTAAAGAAGAAGTAAGAATTAACAATTAAAGCAGCAGATAGCATTTCTCAGAGAGCAACAATTTAATTACGAACAGGTACATCAAAGTCCCCAGTCTCTGCGAAAGCAGCCGCAGAGGGCGGGCGCTTCAGCCAAACGGTCAATCCATTCCTCTCCCGCGGCCTCAATTCTCATTACCTTCTAGTCTTTGAATCTCCTCAGCTGTCACTTCCAGTGTTTGATCTGACAAGGAAGCAACCTGGATGACCTGCGAGAAAAAGGAATGAAATGCGGAGATGTGTCCATGTTTGTTTGTCTCTAAACAGAGGCAAGCCTGTCTTTTACAAAAGACAGGGAACATCAAAGATCTCTTGTTTTAAGGAACTGTCAGTGTCCTCAACTAGAGACTAAATCTCAGGTCTCCTGACTCCGGGAGTGGTCATTACACTGCAGATGACCATTCCAGAAGAAAAAAGTTCATTTAAGACATTGCACAATAAGCTTAAAAAAGGCCAAAAGGACAATTTACAATAGAACAAGAAATATGAATAAGAGTCTAAAACTGCACCCATATATATTCTTGTCCCAACACAACGTGTTATTACTTTTTTTTTTTTAATTTGTTACTGTTGAAAGTATTACACATGCTATACTTTAACATGTTATTTCTTAAAAATGCAATACTTATAATAATAAATTGTATCAGCAATTCTTCATGCAAGAAAGAAATAAATATAACCATGAGTACATTGATTATAACATTGTATACCTAATATAGATTTTTAAAAATCATCATCTGAGGATATTTTTCCGTTTATTTTATTTTATTTTATTTTATTTTGAGAGAGTGGAATGAAGAGGGAGAGACAGACAGAGAGAGAAACATTGATGTGAGAAGAGACATCTCAATTGGTTGCCAACTTGGGACCTTCAGTACGCAGGCTCTATCCACTGAGCCAAACTGGCTAGGGCCTTACATATAGATTTTGAAACAGTTTTTAAAATTTAGCTCATAAGACCCAAGATCCATCTTGAGTTACATCAATGGAACTCTTGTTTGGGTACCAGAGAGACACATGATCCATAATTTTCAAATGAAAGGAAAAAGGGACTTTCCCAAAGTAACAAAATAGCCCAAGAAAGGCTTGTAAAAAGAACTCAGTCATCGAGGGCGATCACCTGGTTTACACAGAGAAAAATGTCCGAACAATCCCGAGTCCAGAATTCTAGATTCTAAATATTAAATTAAATGGACAAGGAAAGAAAAAAACAAAACAAAACAAAACAAAACAAAAACCCCAAAACCACACAAATTTGATGATTTAAAAATAGAATGCACATTTTACTTTATACAATTCTTACCAAAGAAGAGAGAAAAATTTCACCTTGTCCCCCAATGAATACACATATCATACACCAATTAATTCTCTCATAGGTAAGATACAAATAATCAGAAGAAACCCACTGTAAATATTACCTAGAATCAAACTTAGAGATAATCACAAAAAGCAGCACAAATTCGACAAGTTTTATTCCAATGGAGGATCATTAAACTTACCAGTTGGGCAAAGGTGGTAACTTTTAATCTCTTGAAAAGCTCATCTTTTTTGTATCTGTAATCTGAAAAACACAAATATTTTTCTAGAAGTATTCATTATTTCTAATCACCAAGTTATATGGTATATTTCCCAAGTTATTTATATGCTTTTACATACCTTACCTCATTGAATCCTCATGGTATCCTCAAAATTAAAAGTGGTTGGTATTATATAATTTTTTAACCCCTTCTCCTCCCCCCCCCCCCCCCCCCACACACACACACACACACTTTGCTTGGTCCAGTAGAAAGCCTATAATTGAATAGCCACCTCTTGGTGTCTAGAGACTTTATCCCTTGCCTTTATTTCATTAGTCTACCATTTTTCTCTTACTATGCTATCTCTACTTTGGCCATATTGTACCACACTTTTGGAAACTGCTTTGAACTATGTTTAGAATAAAGGGAAACAAACCTGTATATTATAAACAAGGACAGAGACCCTTAAGCTGAGTGGCCCTAGGTCAAACCCTGCCCTGAAAAGAGGACAATTCCATTCCTGACCTGAGGTTACAAACCATGCTAGAGACGCAGGCCAACACCGCCTCCCCGGCCCCCGGCACAATGCTGGGCACACAGTCCTAGATGCAAACCTAGATGCAAACCAGCTTCTATGATCCACCAGGATGTAGACCCAAATAGGCTGACCACAAGCAATAACAAGTGCAGCTCCAGACCATCTTTGGTGTCAGTTTCTCTCCCACTCCACTTCAATAAAAAGCAACCTGGTCAGGTTTGCAAGATGAAAACATTCTGGAGATCTACTGTACAACAAAGTGAATATACTTAACACTACTGAACTGTACACTTACATTGGTAAGATAAATTTTATGGTATATGCTGTTTACAATTAAAGTAAAAATCAACCTAAAACATCAACATGTATACAGTGCTATCCTTACAGTTCTGAGACATAACTCCTCCAATGAGGGTACTCCTGTAATTGTGATAATAATTCTGTGTATCACATTAACCAGTTTTTAAAAAATTTTCAGTCAATATCACTTTATCTAATCTCTGCCCCATAGAGGCATGTTAACAGTTAGCTTCCTTAAACTTTTCTCAAAATGACTGCCGATTCTGAAGTTTTCAGCATTGAAATCCCTCCCACTCTTACCCTTTACTCCTCTCCTCTTGTAGGTGTTTTTATTGGAGCCCAGGGCTCCTTAAAGTCTGTGTCATTACTTCAGAATTATGAAAGGTCAGTTTGCTGGGTAATTACTGTGGCTTTCATAGCACAAAGTTTCATAAGCCAAGACTCCTAGCAACAAAGGAAAGAATTAAGATATTTAAGACTGTTCACCAGGTAAACAGTCTTTTTACCTGGTGAACAGTCTTAATCCTTTCTATGAATTTTCAAAAAAACCAAACCAAACCAAACAAAAACAAACAAACAAAAAACACCCCAGCAAGACCGGATAGTTATTTTGGAGGATAATGTTTGCTTGATTTACCAAACACCTTATGACTCAGAGTCGGGAACTATTACCTTAAAAACTACATGAGATTCTTGTCTTACAGGGAATTAAAGCTTTTCTGTTCTAAAATGTCTTAAAGACAGTGATTTGGCTAATAACTGACTTTTATTTCTAGAAAATTCTTAGAACAGCTTCTTCTGGATACAAGGTAACAAACCTAGATGCAAACCAGCTTCTATGATCCACCAGGATGTAGACCCAAATAGGCTGACCACAAGCAATAACAAGTGCAGCTGAATCACCACCAACCCGTCCACCAAAAGTCACTTATTTAAATCAAAATGGTGATAAATCAGACAATGAAAACAGTCAATTGCTTTCAAGTACTTTGCACTGTGCCATTTACCTACTGATATTCTTTTTGTATAGTTACATAGTTTGAAATACTCCTCCAATTCTTCACATTCTAAGTACATTAAAACCCCCTTTAACTAAGTAGGAATTACCTTAAACAAAAATCTGGTTCAGCTGTATTCTAATGATTGACATTTCTAGTGTCCTCTCACAAGCATGAAAAATCCCAGTGCACATTTGAGCCTCAACTCTACATACCTGGTTCTGGTTTAGAAGGGCAGCCATCACTAGGACTTTCTGACATTATTACTCAGAGACAAAAAGATCAAACCAGACGTTGCACAGTAAGTTTTAAAGTTTATAAAAAGGATGGCTTGGAAAGCTCGGTCAGTCTGTCCTTGCAAGGGAGAACAGAGCTTTAAGAATGGAGCTTCTGCTACTGGTAGCTTCTCCCAACTCCGCGATGGAGACAATTAACCTGCGTTTCAGATATGCTATCAAGTTTTGCTTCTCCAGTAAGTCTGGAGGCTCAGCCTGTCTCTCTCGAGTTACTGGAAGGACAGAGACCTAACTATCTAGGATGTTTCACACTGGGTCCAACTAGTGTCATCTAACCACCAGAAGCCAAGAATACCCTTTGTAAGTGGTCAATAGACACAGAGTGTCTGTTCTCCCCAGGCAGAGTTGAAAGAATATTCAGATTACAAAAGAATTCTGAGTTTTTCAGGGTTTTGTTAAAACACGTTATTAGCAAAGGGAAGTTGGGCTCACAGTGGAAGACAAATCAAAGGAAGTAACAGAACGAGGTTTGTGATTTCACAGAAAGACATGGCATCTAAGGTAATCCGAGAAAAGGGATGGGTCTAGGGTGTCCTGAAACAAGGCAATATTCTCCTCCCTTTGACCCAAAAGAACCCCTACAACAGAAAATGGGATAAGAGAAGGAAATATCGTCCAAAATGTAGATCCCAAACCAGAATCTGAAGTAATTCTAGTCAGGGAATCAGCACAAAGTGTGTGAAACCAGGTGAGAGGAACCTCCTGTCTTCCTAAAAGGAAGCCCTCAACTTCTAAAGAGAAAAGCATTTTCAAGGACTCCGTTCCAGAGGTATTTCTTTGGGGAGAAAAGCTCCATTTAAAGTTTAGATGTTAAAGAGACCACATTGTGCTTTTTGAGAAATGTTTTAAACAGGGTTTCCGCAACCTGGGTGGAACAAGACATTTTTAGGGGACACATTTTGGTGTGGACATGTGAGCTTTTATGCTCAGCGACAAATGGATAGGAGGTGAGAGACTACACACCGAATCCGAAGCAGTCCGGCTGGATTTTCCTGCCATGGATGAATAATAATGCAGCCCAGGTGAGTACACAAGATTATTTTCTTCTCTTAAAATGTTAATATATCCTTAAAACACATACTTATACAATATAAAGTGCAATACAATGTATAAACTATAATATAGAACATAGAAGAAGAAAAGAAAGGGCTACGGTGACATTGCACATTAGGAAACCAATGTCTCCAGCATTAGGCCTATAGCTCGCTGAGGCAAACAGTGGAGTGAGCAGAAAGCTGCTCCAGAGTCCACATCTATTATCTGGGGTTTCTCAGCAATTCAAAGGGAACAGAAACATTATCATTTAAATTAAAAGGCCTGCTGTGTGAAAACAAAGTTCTCTGAATTCTGGATTTGTAGTAATCTCTTCCCAGAAGATGTATATTACCAGAGCCAACTTCTGAACCGTTATCTGAGGGAGTCCCCCCCCCCCCCCCCCCCCGCATTAGCTAAATACTCCCCTCCACTGCGTTCCATTGGAGACAGGCGCAAATCCCTCTGAGGAGGGAGATGTCTCTGCTGCTTCTTTAAGTCTGGCCTTGATGTGTACATTTAACATCTGTTTGGACACAGACTGAAAAAATCATGATTTTGTACAAGAGCAATACACTCAGTGACGAGTGGCGTATCTTTGCAGAAGATTCGTTTTTAAAGAGAATGGGCATGAAATATGATTTTTAATTAAAAGAAAGCAGACTACAATGAATTTATAATGTATCACATCACTTTAGGAATAAGCGCTTTCTCATCTCTAAGGCTTTCATGAGTACTAATTTATAATCAGAAGAATGTTATGAAATGAGATATTATTACTCCTATCTCAGGTATAGAGAAAGCAGGAAAGATTAAGTACCTTGAAAAAGGCTAAGAAGACTGTAGAACAATGAAACGAAAGCGCAGGTTCTCACTGCTCCCTCTGCGTTCCCACAGGAACATCTCCTCTGAGGACTAAGTCAGGCACAACTCGACCCACAAGCCACAGTCCTCGCAGCTCGCCAGGAAGGTACAGTGTTTCCCACATCTCTCCAGCCACCGGCCAGTGGGCTCCCAAAGCTCTCCGAGTGTGTCAGTTATAGAGTATGATTAGGATTGTTAATAACCAACTGATAGAGCTACTGCAGGGGTCCATTATGCCAGCCCATCAATAGTGCCACTTACTTTTTTTGATCTCTTCTAGCTTCTCAATGTATTTAGTCATACTGTTACCTAAAAAAGAGAATAAAGATTTTAGATATGTTTTTAATGGAAGGAAATCAATAACACTGTGAAAATGGAGTACAAGTATTCCCTAAGCCTTCCTATCCTGTTCTTACAGAATTGCAGGAGGCAAATGGACCACACAGAGTAATAATCTTTTTTGGATTATACAGTGCCATTAAAGGCTGATGAATCATGGGAAATGTCTGGTCAAATGTGTTAAGTTGGGGTACATACCCAATAAACATTAAGAAGTCTCAGGTAGTAAAGATGATAATTTGATGTAATTTTTTTTCCTTTTTGAGTCAAGGCTTTCCTCCCTTTATTCCTTCCATAATCTTTATGTGGGAGAAGGAAGGAGAGAGGCAATGATCTTCAGATGTCTAAAATGTGCCTTTGTGGCTACCCAAGCCACCCTTCCCTCTCCACTTAAGTCTTGTGGTTTCCCTCTTTCCTAAACTTGGCCTTCCTCTGTTCATGCTGATGCTGCAGCCTGAGCGAGACCACACAGTCTGTACCCTGGAATTCACGGTGGATTTGATTTGCTGAGAAAGAACAGCAGATTCCCACAGTGTGGAGAGTCCTCATGTTTTATAGCCTGGTTCTACAATACTAAGTTCCAGCCGCGGTGGGTTGGAGCGTTTTCGTACATTAAAACTGGGCCAGGATCATTCTGGTTTCTGAATGAACTACAGTCTGGTTCTCAAGCCAGAGGTGATTTTTCACTTGGACATGCTTTCCTTTGCTTCAAGTCAATAGAGCAAGCTCTATCTGGCACCTAAAAGGTATAGCAAAGAGAGAAAAACATGCAAAATAATTTATTTCTAAAATTGTGCTGCAAACTTTTAGACCTTGACGAGCCCAACTTCAGATAACAAAATGCGTTTCAATGAATGCCAAGAACAACTGTTTTTAAGGAGAATTCTGCATTTTCCTTCATGCGTAAGTCAGAAGCAGAGAAAGAAAAGTCTTGCTCTGAAACCCAAATTCATTTTCAAAAATAACTTATGCCATTTGTTACTATTCATCATGGAACTGAATCCCACTGAGCTACATTTCGTTCCCATCTGAAGACACACACTCTCTGGGATCTGGACTCGGTGTGCAGCCTCAGAGCCGGAGTCTCCTTCCAAAGCTCAGAGGCAGAATTGCCTGCGCCTTCTCAAGAGACGAATAAGAGACCACATAGCCCCAGGGAGCAGGATCAGAATCAAATAAGATCTTTTCTAGGTTCTTCAGGCTGGAACTGACTCGAGACGTGACCAGATTCCCAGAGTGGAAACCATGATTCTTCCCAGCACTCTTCCTCCCTCTCCCTGCAGCTCTGAGCTCAGGTGGGAGCGGTGTGGTCAGCGCAGCTGGGGAAGGAGACAGGGCACACAGTGTGCTGCTCAGCACCCTGCAGGCTCATTCTTAAACTACTTTACATAACAGCGTTGGTCCTATGTCCCCGAGGCCCTGGCAGCCGCATGTTGCTGGCATGCAGGGTTCTTTCGGCCAGGGCAGCTTCAGACGGTCTCATCAGAATACCAAGGCACAGAGAAAGAGGCCTGGCTTGTCCTGACACAGCAAGTGAGTGACTAGATTAACAAAGTAGTCCTTTGTGAATCTAACATGGCTCACAGAAACACATGGCTTCTCCGGTGGCAATGTTTGAAAAACACCATTTAACTGTGAGGTAAATATGTAGGAAGTGTTACTTCCTTCACAGAAGCAGGTGGGAAGCATTTTATGTTCTAAATCCCCCAGGGCATACTATGCATGGAAAATAATAGCCAACCTTATGATATAGCCTTTGTTAGGAAAACATTGCATTTCCTGCCCAGGCTGATTTGGATAGAGAGTCGGCCGGTGGGCTGAAGAGTCTCGGGTTCGATTCCGGTCACGGGCACATACCTGGGTTGCAGGCTCCTTGAGGGCACATGCGGGAGGCAACCAAGCTATTGTCTCTCTCACATCAATGTTTCTCTCTCTGCCTCTCCCCCTCCCTTCCACTCTTTCTAAAAAGCAATGGGAAAATATCCTCGGGTGAGGATTAACAAACAAAAGACCACGTTGCATTTTCACTAACACTCAATTATCACCATTTTCAGAGCATTTACACAGCAATTCATCTTTGGACCAGCAGTGCCTCACAACAAGCTGGCACTCCCACCGTTTGTTTTTCCCACTGGAGGAAAAGGCAGGGAAACAAAGTCTTTTGCTCAGGTAAACAAATGTTTGGCAAAATTAAGAACAAATCTAAGGGGTCCATTGATAAAAAGCTGTTTTCACTAAAGATATTTATTCTATCCACATAGGAAGGAAAAAAAAGAAAGAGGTGGATTTCTGCATTGTCCCCGTTGGAGAACTGAGGCAGCAGGATGGCTGACTAATGACACTTCAGAAGGTATGAAAAGTAGTATCCCACCCCTCTTCATATAAAGTCTCACTAATTAGCTTATCTTACCAGATCTAATTTCATCTAAAAATAGTTTTCGGACTACCTTTTGAAAAGACTAGAAATAAAACAATTCTATAATTGATTAACTTGTAAACATCTTTGTTTTATACAAGAGTAAGGAGCCTAAAGGAATATCAGCAAACCAGTTTTTAAAAGAATTAAAATTACAATTGTTGCACGATAAATTTCCCTAGACAAGATTTTGATTAAAAACAAACAAACAAAAAAAAAAAGGTCAGTGGCTTCCAACTGCTTACCAGCTAAAATTTAAACTCCTTGCCCTAGTGTTGAAGGCACCAATATCTTACCTACACTTCAATCTTTTTTTTTTTTAATGTATTCTATTGATTTTTTACAGAGAGGAAGGGAGAGGAATAGAGCTAGAAACATCGATGAGAGAGAAACATTGACCAGCTGCCTCCTGTACACCCCCTACCGGAGATGTGCCCGCAACCAAGGTACATGCCCTTGACCGGAATCAAACCTGGGACCTTTTCAGTCCGCAGACCGACGCTCTATCCACTGAGCCAAACTGGTTTCGGCTACACTTTAATCTTGCCTTAATTACCAAACTTGACAAAATCTCTGTTAGTCTTGAATTCTTGAACATGTCACCTTGTCCATGTAATCATAATAGCTCACCAGCTGGGAGGGACCTTTGCATCCTCTGCGCTTGGCTTTCCACTCACAGGCATTTATCATTTCACTGCCTTATTTGTGTGCAAGTTTAGCTATCTTATTATTGGGAAAGCCAAGGACTATTTACACACACACACACACACACACACACACACCACACACCACACACCACACACAAAGAGAGTCTTTCTCTCTTCCATTGTCTAGCAAATGAGGCACTAAAAGATACCTGAAGAATCCTGGCGAGTTATTTTCATAATGCAAACACTCATACCACAATCTGGTTTGAGTTTTGTACACCCGCTTTTATTTAAAAGTACAACCTGATTTATATGCAGTATCCGTTAAATACTACCTATACGACCCATATTGTTTCACGAGTCAGGTAACCGAGAAATGTATAAGGTGGTATTTAATTTCCACTTAGTTTACAACTTACGTTGCAACAAAAGATTTATTTATAAACTTTTTCAATTTGAACCAAGAGAAAGAGACAACCCAACTATATCAATAGTGTTATGCAAAGATAGAGCATAGTCGATGAATTAAGTGACTTATTCAGTATATTTTTTCCTTTCTTTTCTGATAATTTAATAACATTATTTGCACTAAGCTGGTAAGAAAAGCAAGTGATTTTGAGCAGCAGTAATCTAAAGTGAGATTTATAAGGCAGACCCGGTTGCTAAGAGACAACTCCATTGCTTTATTTTTCTTCAATATTCCCCTCCTCTATGGAGAAGTTCTTTTGGCTCAGAAGGAGCAGAAAGCGTGAAAGAGGCACAGTGGTCCTTTGTTAATCTCAATAAGTTATAGGAGTGTATAGTGCTTTCTGGTTTGTGAAAGGCTTTCACATACATTTCTCCCTTTGACATAAGAAAAGGAATTAAATGCTGAAAAAGATGAAGAGTACCTAGACGGTAATGAGTTTGACTGCTACAGATCAAGGTTATTAGCAAAAATTCAGGAAAAGTAAAGACTAAAGAAAAAAAAAGAAAATGCTAGTTTGTGCAGAGATAATAGAAGGCGAATAAAAAAAATAAGGCTAGAAGACACTGAGTAGAGAAGGCTACAGGATTTCAGAGAGCTAAAGAAATTTGAAATGAGACTGAAAATGGAGTGAAATGAGGGGATAATACAAGCGATGAAAGAGTGTAGGGGACTAACAAAGGGGGAGCCCCGTGGCTTGGAAAGTGTTCCTTAATCAGCCCACAGCGCTGCGGAGCAGAAACACAGAGAGGGTGCTTGGGAACAAACGAGAACCCTGCAGTGGAAACTGAACAAAACGCAGCCAGGGGCTTCAGCAGAGGCATAATCCATTCATGGAACAGTCTGGCAATGCTGGGGAGCTGGTAAGAGACACCCAGGCACCTATGGAACAAAAGAAATATTTGAAGTTCAAAATAATTCTGAAATTCCTAGCCATGGCGATACACTGGTGTTTGAGTTCATAAGAGAAGTAGAATCCGAAGTAGAGACATAAAAAACAAATCTTTACCAAGGAAGGAGGGACCCATCTTTGAAGAACTCAGTAGCCACTGATTTGGGTGAAGACAGGAGATACCAGAAAATTCTTGATTTCTTGTGATTAACTCTGAATTACTCATTGCTTGATCAGAAGAGATCAAAGACCTAGCTATTTAGCCTGGAAATGAGAAATGCTCACTCATTCCGTGCCTGTTTCTATGGCTCTGATGGCAGAGCTTAACACACCGCAGATGGGAACTCTTCACGCTCACTTGGGCTATACGGTCACTCTTGTGTTTTCTTAACCAGGTCTCCTCACCCTTGGCGCCTTGTAGCATACATATAAGTGACGATATCTGGACAGAACACAGGTTTGCATTGTCTCAGGTTCTGATGGCTACCAAGAGGGCTGAAGGGTCTGTAGTATAACTTGGCATACAACACACAGGCCACTATACTGAATGCGCAGGGAGGTTAGGTCATAAAAATGCCTAGAAAAAAATTAAAATCTTTCCCCTAATTTGCCTTTAAAACAATTTAAATTGAAACAACAAAAGAAATTGAACACTAGAATAAAACTACTCTCCCACACTGAGTTTAAACTCTGAATTTTAAACACACTTTGGCCCTTCCAGAGCGATGAGAAACTAGTTTGGGAGACATTTACTTAGAGGAAGATGAGGTGGATGTGTTTTTCTCTACTCCTCCAGCTAAATACAACAAAAACCCTGGATGACCCACAAAAAGGGAGAAAAGAGTTGCAAATCATATTTCTGATAAGGGTCCAGAATCCAGAGAATATAAAATAACTCTTATAACTCAACAATTAAGAGAAAAATAACACACAATTTGAAAAATGGGCCCAAGGTTTAAACAGCCACTTTTCCACGGGAGATTTGCAAATGCCAATAAGCACATAAAAAGGTGCTCAATATTATTAGTCATTAGGAAAATGCAAATCAAAACCACAACGAGATTAACACTTCACACCTACAGCCGTGACTGTGATCAAAATGATGGACAATAAAAAATTTTTGAGGGATGTGGAGAAAACAGAGCCCTCCTGCATTGCAGCTGCTTTGGAAAAACAGTTTGGCAGTTCCTAAAAAAAATTACACACAGAGGTAACATCCGACCAACTATTCAACTCCTAGGTATATAACCTACAGAACTGAAAGCGTGTGTTCACACAGAAACTTGTATACTAATGTTCATAGCAGCATTATGGCCAA